TGTCCACACTAGGACCCAGGAGACACACTCTCCAGGATATCCCCTCTGTGGAGCCAGCACAGCACTCTGCTGGGAGCGCTGATCGAGAGCATGAAGCAGCCACGCTGCCTCTCTGCGCTGCTCTCATGCTGCTCCATGTCTGCTCTTATAGTCGGTCCCTGGTGTGGGCATCTGGCATCATTTTCCCATGCTTCTCCAGCTTTACCAATAGCTTGCTTAAAAATTGAACAGGTGGCATTGAGTGCTACTCTGCAGCTGCACCTGAAGCACGTAAGCTTGTTCTGGTTCCAGCCCTTACTGGGCTATTTCACATCTCTCTGACATCACTCAAACCCCGAAGCTGGGGCTTCCATCCCCCAGCACCTGTCGCACTGTGACACAGAGGTTGCCAACCTTTTGCAAGCGACCTTTGTGACCCAGCCCCTGCCATGGGCCTGCAAGTCTCTGCCTTTAGAGTGGCCAGCTGCCTGTGCTTTCCCTTATTATTACGGAACTACCGAAATGGCGGAAACAAAAAACGAAAAAAGCTTACTGAAAATAAAATGCTGGTTCCCCAGAGGTAGCCAGCAGTTTTCACCATGCTATGGCCCAACTACACAGTCTGTGGAGGGGGTGGGGGGAAGGGGGTCTGCACACATGATGGGCAGTCCAAGGGGGCTGCTGCCCCTTCCCCACAGCGCTGATTGACTGGGAGGGCTGTCTGTCATATGGCCCCATTCCTCTGCACCAATCAGTGACAAGGGCCAGGGCCTTATAACAGACAGCCCTCCCAGCCAATCAGCAGCAAGGGGTGGGGTCACAGGGGCCCCTTGGCCAATCAGGCATTGCAGGCGAGGGTGCTGTGAAATGGCTGCTGGGCCTACGTTTTTGCTGCAAAATCAGCTGGCAGCCATCTCGAGTTTAGTAGGTCCCTACTCATATCCTCTCTGCAGTGGTTGCAAGCTCAGATGGGGTGGAGCTGCAAGCTCCACAGCAGAGGGGAGCACTGTGGAGAGGATGGGCTGGGTGGCACAGGTCTGTGCCACCAGTCCCCCTGTGGCAGATCAGACTCCTTCAGCCTACAGGCCATAGGTTGCTGACACCTGTTCCATTCTGTGTTTCCACTCTATGGCCTCATGTTTTCTTGCAGTAAAAAAAAAAATAATTCCCAAATTAATTGCTACACAAGTGAAATAGCTAGTTGAGTATTGCAAAATGTTATTTCCACTAGAGCATGTATGTGTTTTAACAGGCAGGTTAAATGTTAATTATAAACAACACATTAATTTTATCTTAATTTGTGCCTTCATCATGAATTTGCATTCTGATACAGTCTTTATTACATGATCACATATTATTTTCCACTGCATTCAGTGTACATAAGAGACACCTAACTCACCTCCATGAGCTCTAGTTCTCTCCATTGCTTACTATGTGACACAGGCACAGACAGAATGAGGTTCTTCAGTAACATTCAGTTGCAGTCCCCTTCTCCACCCCACATCTTCCAGCTTATGCAACAGTGCCACAATGCATATGCACAAGGAGCAATATGAAGTTTGCGCAGGCAGTTCTGGCATTGCCTAACTGAAGCACCTGATTTTGCAACCATAATTTTCCGTATTATGCGTGTGTAATTTTCATAAGGTTTTTTGGTTTTTTTTTTTTTTTAAACAAACTAAAAAATCAAATATTCTAACGTAATATAGAGATGGGCAAAATGGCAGATATGGCCAGATTCCGTTTTCCATGAGCCCCTGTCTGCATCACTGCGGTCGGTTTCCCTAGAGACCCCAGCAGTAGTGGAGCTGTGACAGTGCAGGACCAGAGTTTCTGTGGTGGCCAGCCCCAGCAGAACTGGCAGGGACCTGCTCTGGGGCTGAGATCTTGCGTTGGTGACAGCATGGTCTGGAGCCAGAGCTGGCTGCATAGTCTTGCTTGGCCCTGCCACTGCTAGGATTTCCATGGAAACTGGCCACAGTGACCTGGGCAGGGGCTCCTGGGAAATAAAGCCCACCCCAATGTAGCATCTCGCTGACATGTATGAGTTGTCACCAGGGCTACCACACAAACTTCTGCCAAACTGATAGCAGTTGTAGGTCATAATCCTCTGTATGAGCCAGAAGTAGAGAGAGATGGGGAATGTTTGTGTTCTGTAGGCATCTGATGACAGCAGAGGAATGGTGATTCCTCTTGTGTTCCATTCCAGGCTCTGGAGTGGCGTGTAGTCTAGTGCAGGGATGGACAACCTGAAGCACACATGCCACAGATGACATGGGCACAGCTTCTGTGTATGGCGGCAGGCCAGGGAGGGAGAAGAGCAGCAGGTTGGGCAAGGAAGGAGATAAACGTGGCACTTGTGAAGGGCATGGGGCTTATCTTGTTGCCCCCATTGTGCTAGCTCATTCAGCCTCTTTTACTTGTTTCACTCAAGCTTGCCTCTTTTGTCCTGTGTCCTATAAATTGTCCTTGCCCCTTTATTCCAGTTTTTTATCCTCCACATAGGCTCCAGTCCCCATCCCTTGCCCTGTTTTCTCTCATTCCTTGTATTATATGTCCAGCCATTCCCAGTTACATATACCCTGGCTTCTTTTATCTGCCAAGAAACTTACCCTTTCTATGAATAGAGCTTTATAGACTTCTGTTGTCGTTAGATGCTGTTATAGACGCTGTTGTAATGTGCTGCATCTGTTGTTGTTTGAACCCTTGCTATGCCAGCTTGCAAATAACTTTGATTATTAACAACAGTTGAAATATACAGGGCCAGCTACAGTAGATGGTTGTGCAGCTTCTTTTATAAGGTTTGGATGAATACTGAAAATAAATAGTGAGGCCCAGTAGAGGCCTCATAATTTAGTGACACTATCCCAGAAAAAAGCAAAAACGTGCATTAATTCAGTGAATGAAGGCTACATAAAAACTAGAATTGTGTGATTAATCATGTGGGTTCTGAAGATCCACCAAGCTAATTGTTCCAGAGTACAGAGAGAGACTGACTGTCCTGTTATGCCTCTGAGTTCCCTGTTTCTTATTTTGTCAAAAGTCTACCTGTTAAATTATCCTTTCTAGGACTTAATACAGGTTCCCCTCACTTTATGCTGTATATGCGTTCCTGGAAAGCAGCGTATAACTTGAATTCACATAAAGGGAACCCACTTTACAATGTGACAAATAGGGATACGTTCCAGGACCTTGATTGTACTGACCCCCAGACCCATTTCTACCACTTTAACACAGCAATTTTGGTACTTACTAACAGCAGACAATACACAAGCACAGGGTGGTGGTGATGTTGCACAATTTACCAATTGCGTAAAAGGACAAGCGAGACTTATAAGTGGGGGGAATAAGGCAAGATGCTGCATTTATTGATCAGAATATTCAAAAGAGCACTCATACATTCACACACACACACACACTCACTCCCAATTAGTCTGCAGATGTTATAGTTACCAAAGTCCATTGCTCGGTACTACACTAGGTGGCCAGCCTAGGAGTGCGAGATAAGGAGGGGGGCCTTGTCAGACATGTGTCTATGCTCCAATGAAGTATGCCAAGTGTTACCCAAACACTTGCTGTTAAGTCTCTCCCCTTCATAGGGCCTGAAATTGGCGTTGAGTGACTGGTTCCGCCATTCTTGACTTTGCGCCTTCTTTGTTTGAACCCCAGTAATTTTTCACTGGCAAACAGATGAGTTTAGTCTGCAACATTCTGAGTGTTGTCCTTCAGAGCAGCTGGCATATCTCTTATCTCCTTGCTGTGTCTGTTATGAGCGGTGCCTTCAGCCTCTCCTTGGAACTCTTCCGCCTTTTACTAACCTGTTTTTCTGCACATTGTTCTTTCCGTAATTTTCCATTCACTTCACACTCATTCATCTATATATGCAAACCATAGTCTCACAGAACAATTGTTAGTTATCATTTATATGCTATGATAACTATCTCAAATTGCTACATTGAATGTTACCACAATGGGGATGGCAATTACAGAAACACACATTGCAGACAATGAGCGAGGAGCACAGAGCCACACAGGATATTTTGGTGAACATCACTCCCACAATGCACCAAACAAAATAGCTGACTGCGAGCTTCCACCACACCAATCACATGAGAGTGAATTTACCTCACATATAACAAAGTTTTGGTATTAAAAGGGTCACCGCATAAGAGCAAATTTGCACATACAGAACCTGCATAAAGCGAGGGAAACCTGTATTGTAAAAAAAAAAAAAAAAAAATACTGTCCTTCTAGCTAGGTCTTTGTGAGCTAGCTAGTATCTCAGATAATAATGGAGACATATTTCAGAAGCCAGCTCTGAAAGACTGTTTCCTCTCTGGAAAGAGAGGAAAATTTGACACGCAGCAGTAGGGAAACAACTTCTGTACTCCTGTGTAGTAATACTATGCTGTTCTAATGTTAGTGAGCTTGTCTCAGTGTTACTCCAGGGACTTTGCATGACTACTCATCCATAAATGAGGAGGCAATGAGGTCTCATAACAGCATATTGAAAGGTAGGAAGAGCAGTGGATGCTATCGTTGGCTTCATTTAGCACCCACAACACTTTAAAGCCTTGAAGGCCTTGCACAAAATAGCTTATGTATGCTACAAAAAAGAATTTGTTGCACCTTTTTGTGATGCTTAAGCACCCAACTGTGGGCCAGAGATTTATGAACAGAGCTCTTAATAAATTTGAATATATGGTAATGAAATTATCAAGGTATTTTCTAAAGATATACTAAAAAAAAGTCCCTGGCAAAAACCTTGTCTTTCACTTTTTTGCAGGAGGAATTTTGGATGAAAAAGCATTCAGGTTTAGTATTTGCTTTGGCTTCTATAGTCCACAGCAAAGCTTATTTTTTTAAAAACTAAACAAAAGAAACGTAAAAGCCCCAAATCCTAATATAGTAACCCGTGAATACACACAGACTTTATTCTAATATAGTGGCTTTTTGGTTCTTTTGGACTTATCTAGAATTTGTTAACACTGTTTTTTTCCTCCGCTCCTCTTTGACTTTAGCTGTGGATGGATTTCTAAAAACCGATGAAAGACAAAGATTAGCAAAGGAAAGAAGGGAAGAAAGAGAAAAATACCTTGGTAAGTTGACGTATGCCATGTTTTGAATAGCTGTATATATTAGTAGGCTTTACATTATGAGCAGGAATATCATCACACTTTAAAATATACAATATTTAAATAACAATCAATTTAAGAAGCCATTAATTTCAATAAAACAATCATTTTCAGTATTATTCATGCATTATTTAAGTAATGGAATATTATAATAATTATAACAACATACAATATTATGGTCCAGTTTGCTTTTGTATTTTGTCACCTTGAAAAAATTTAAATCCTGCTAAATTGTAGAGAAATCTAATTCTAGTGTTAAAGGAACAAGAGTGCATAATCAAAGACTCTTTCAGTTGATTTCTAGGTACAACAGTGAATAACTTTTATCTCAGATAAATGTGCTATTAAATATTATGGCAAGCTATACGTGATAGATTGGCTTTTAGGATGCTGGAATGTACATCTCTAATTGAAAAAAATCTTTAAATAAATATTTAAAGTGGTAGATTGATTTTTCAATTTTTTAATGCTAATTTTAGTCCATTTTTATTTTAATTAATGCTGAGTTGATAAAAGTGGCAAAACTAGATTTCTTCCCTACCTCTAGGATTATGTATCTTTCTCACTGCTTGCAGGTAAATGAAAATGCATACATGCATTAACAACTGGCCAGGAAGAGAGACCCCTTCCCACTATCCCACAGTGCTCTGCTCTCCCTGCATTCCTTCCTGGGAGATGAGGGAAGAAAGGAGAGCAGCTGGCTTCCAGATAGACTACACACAGCAAGAAGTTGTCACTGGAGGACTGGTTAACAAGCAGCCTTGTCCCTGTTGCTGTGCTTAGGAAGTAGAAACCCCCGGTCAGCTTTTGCTATTTGGGGCAGTTCACTTGCAGCCCTAAGCCCACTGGGATCTTCTTCAGGCATCTGGGGACTGGGAAAGTCTTCAGAGGTCTCCTTGTTCAGCTGTTGCCATGGTGGCAAGCCTGTCAGTGAGCTCACAGATAGGGTCCCCTGCTAGGAACAGCCTTTATTGCCGCCTGTCTGGAGAATGTCCTTTCCAGCACACTCCAGCCACAAGCGCTGTGCATATGCACCTGTCCATAGTGCTCTATTGTAGTGTGCAAAAATAGCATCCGTCAGAGGCCCTAGAGCCCATAGATTAAATGGAAGAACAAGATTTACACACGTTTTCATATCTGCAGCACTGCTTTGCAGCATCGTTCAGATGTCACCTTCATTACTGCAGTGGACAGTCAGTTCTTAGCACAACATCCTGACACTTTGGTTCTTTGCTTCTGTATAGTCATTCTGTTCTTGTATGTTCTGCTTTCTTTGTCTGCTAGTTATTAAACACTAATAACTAGTCATCATTGCATCTCCAAGATAACTCTTCAAATGTTGACAGTCCTTGTTAATTTTTTCACGCTAACCCAGACTTGCCAGTGTGTTGAACACCATTTTTCATTCCCCTATCCCACCAGACACATTCAGTCCTAGGAGTACACAATACCTAGGTAAAAGTTTAAGCTGTGTTGCACAAACTTTTTGTAAAATGGCATAGACATTTCCCACATTCTCCAAAGGGGAAGCTGGGGTTTGGGGAGATGGATCTGACAAGAAGCTGAGTTCAGGAGAGAGGTGGGACAGGTTGGGCAAGGCATTGGGTATAGAGCTCTAAAACTGAACAAGGAGGCAGAGCAGGCCTAGAAATAAGTGGGGACAGGGAGTGAGGAAAGGATGATTGGAGGTCTCGGCTGGGGGCAGATCAGATAAGGAGACAGGAGTTCATGGAATCATAGAAAAAAGGGGCTGGAAGGGACATCCAGAGTTCATCTAGTCCAACTCCCTGGCTGAAGTAGGATCATCTCTATCCAAACCAGCCTGTGCAAATCCATTGTCTAACCTATTAGCAAAACTACAGTCAACCCCGACACACTCACAAGACATAACAATCTAATCTGCCACAGGTGAATCAGGTGGACCACAGTGGCCAGCATCCCATTGCTGTGAAAGTTAATAAAATACACTCAGGAGATCCCGGAAGAGGGCCATGCCCCCTGCTGCAGAAAACTACAAAACTCCCACAGTCCATACTAATCTGACCATGGGATAACATTTCTTACTAACCCCAAATATGGTGATTGGTCTGACCCTAAGCAAAAGGGCAAGACCCTCTAGCCAAGAACCTCTGGGTTTAAGTCCCAGCGAGAGCATTTGCACATCCCAGTCAATGAGATGAGGTATTAGGACTGAGTGGGGAAAGAGACTAAGGAGAAAGCACAGGGAGGACAGAAGGTGGAACCATGAATGCCGAGGCAAAGAGACTGCAAATTTTAGGTATGAAGGGAGTGATTAGGGTAGGAAAATCAGAGGTAGTGATACTAGAGTTTGGCAAGGAGATGGTGACTGGAATGAGAAGCCTGAGGTATAAAGATTGAGACTGAATGAGAGTGGGACTGGAATAAGGAGCCATGACTGGCAACTTTAATTCTGGCTTTTCCTGACTTTCACGTGCTTGACTAGGGAAGTGTGAATAATATGTTTTTAATTTAGTATTTTGGTGCGTAAAATACGTGGAGAGGTGTGCATGTGCATGCATGTGCAATTTTATCCTGAATTATTGCTTTCTTCCATTTCACAGTGGAAGTTTGCATGAGCACTAGAGTTCTTTAAATAATTTATTGTATTCATTGCTATGTATTCCCTCATGCAAGCCTGAAGTAACAGTCCTGTCTGTAATGCTGCAATCATTGTTTCCATAGCAATAAATTAATGTCTTATAAATAGGCTCGGGAGGATTTTATATTTATTGATAAATGTCAATTTTTGCCTTACTCACAGACCAGTGAAAAAATATTTCATCATTAATACTCAAAATTTATAAAAAGGGGACATAAGAATAGGGTGGGCTCCTACTGAGCAGTGGCTGGAGGTGGTGGGGGGGAAGTGGGGATTGGGCACTGTGTCTGTCTGTCCCCACCTCTGCAGCTTGATGCCTGCAGGGTGCCAGACAGCTGGGCCCTCCCTTGCAAATTTGGGCAGGAGCCGGCAGGCAGAGCAAGTCATTGGATGCAGAGGGCAGATACTGCCGCAGCAGTCAGAGGTTTCCTTACTGGGGGAGGAGGCGGGTAGGGGAAGGCAAGGGAAGCAACTGTCATGGGACAAAGGAAAATAGGCACTGAGCTCAGCATCACTGTGCATGGGGGCCGGGCAGCAGGTTAACAGCCTGGCACTACAGCAACTTCCCCCACAACTGCTGTGTGCTGGACTGGTGGAGGAAGCAGGGGTGTGTGTGTGTGTGCCTTCACACCCCTAGTTTCCCACAATCCCAACAATTTTAATTTATAAAAATCAAAATAAATGCTTAAAATAAACATTCATGTTTCAGGGGTGTTGGTTGTAGCCATGTTGGTCTAAGGACACAGGCAGACAAGGTTCTTTGGGTAAATGTGTTATCTTTTAGTAGACCAACTAAATAGTTGGGAAAAATGTTCTTTGCAAGCTTTTGGGCACAAACACCCTTCTTCAGGCATAGGGAGTTGGTCTAATAAAAGATATCACATTTACCTAAAGAAGCTTGTCTGCCTAAAAATAAACATCAGTCTAGCTGTCAAAATTAAATTAAAATTTAAAAATAAAAATTGAATTCTGTGAAGCCTACTCATAAAAGATTGACTCTCTATGTGGAGCAAGCAAGGGGGCAAACCTCGTAATAAAATAAGTGTTCTTTATACAAATAGCCAGAAGAGAAGGTAACTAAAATATATGGAAGCATTATCAGAACGGTACACTTTCCAGAACTTTTATGTAAATCTTTGTGAGCTAGCTCGACATTCTTCAGAGGTTCTTTTACAGCATCTTCTTTAAAGTTCTAAGAACCAAATTCTGCCTCCCTTTAAGGTCAAAAGTAGCCATGTGTCTGCACCCCAGGAAATAATTGGGTCTTATAAGTACGGAGGAGTTTGTAACCTATACAAATGTAGGTCACTGATTTAGTCCTGAATGTTTTTTACACATAACAGAAATATAGGGCTGAGAGAGACTTCAAGAGACTGAGTCCCCTGCTCAAGGCAGGACCATCCCTGCCTAAGCCATTCCACACATGTTCGTCTAACCTGTGCTTAATTCCAGTGAGCTTCCACCCTGTCATATTAGTTAATTATTGTTTATTTTCTTCTTTACTCATATGCTTCATTTTAATGCCCTGTGATATTAATTTTACTGTGCCAAAGTGTTCAGTATATTTGCCTTAATTGTATTTTTGTTATTTGTTTTCTTTGTTATCATATTGTTGAAAAAAGGCTTTGTGGGGAAAAATAACAGCAAATTAAGTGATCCTTTTTCTTTATCTAAGCTGCCAGGGAGCAGCAGATCCTGGAGAAAGAGAGAAGAGCAAAACTTCAGTATGAAAAGCAAATAGAAGAAAGATGGAGAAAACTTGAAGAACAAAGGCAAAGAGAAGAGCAGAAAAGGGCAGCAGTTGAAGAAAAACGGAGACAGAAGCTTAAAGAGGAAGAGGTGAGGAGTACTGAAGCATACTGGACAGCCACCATAGGTAGCTAGCTCTAGGATGTAGCTGACCAGACCTTGATATGAATTCCAAACTTTGCAGCTCAATGGACCACACCAGCAAAATATTGGTAGCCCAAGGGCTGCACCTAAAATTTACATAGGTCTGAGAACTACACAAAGTTTATCTCCACTGATACATGTGTATGTGGACGTGCATGTGCACACACACAGACCTCCTTTGCTTCAGAAATTACATCAACACTAAGTACTTTGTGAACAGCAGGAGAGACAAGTATCAATAAGAGAATTGGCACTATGGTTCTGAAAACTTACAATTTTAGCAGAAAATATTGACATCACTAATGTCTCTCTTTTTTTCCCAATAGATAAATTAAAGTTTCCAGCCTTCACATATCCACACTACATATCTATGCCTTCTTGCCACTTTTACTGTATTTTCTTGCATACCATAAGATGCAAGCATGCACCTTGTTTTTGGGAAGGAGGAAGGAAGGAAAAAAAAAGATTTACAGCCTCATGGAACAAGCAGAACTTAATCTTCAGCTCACTCACCCTCCCTTTCTTGCTTAGACAACAGCTATGCTTTACACAGCTGAATTGGCTGCTTTTGCCTGAGCAGGAAAGGGAGGGTGAATGAACTGAAGATTAGATTCTGTCCCTGCTCCAGTTCAGCTGTGAAAATCTTAAAACTGTAGCTGCTGCTGAAGACTGGACTCTGCCTCTGCCTCCATACCACTGCTGGGGGGGGTGGAAGGAAGAGGATGTAAAGGAGCAGCAGCCATCTTTTATAGCATCGATATGCTTCTTTATTACAGGCAGAAAATCAGCTTCCCTTCTTAAGCCATGCACCCTATTTTGGAGAACTAGTTTTTGGGGCAGGGTGCATGTGGTATGCAAATAAATATGGTACTTTTTTCTTTCTTCAGCTTTTGTTCCAATAACTGCATCTTATACTAGATCAAGGCCCTCCAGCTCATGGCCCATGAGGGGTTAATTTGTGACCCCCCTGGGCTTCCCCCTCACCCTGCACAGCCACTCTTCCCATTGTTCAGGGATTCTGGGCTCCCCTTCCTTACTCTGGCTTCTGTTTCCTGCCTCTGCCCCAGGGACATGGCAGGGTGGCACAGCCTATGGGGCCATTGGAACCATGCAGCGTTGTGCAGCCGTAGACTGCCTAGACAAAGAGATTACAAGGTTTAAGTAGCAAGGAAGAGATTAAGGCAGGAAAATCAGAGGCAGTGACACTAGAGGTGGGCAAGGAGATGGTGACTGGAATGAGTAACCTGAGGAATAAAGATTGGGACTGAAAGAGAAAAGAACTGGAATAAGGAGGGATGGGAGCTGGGGACACAGTTACCCACATGGCATGCAGTATGCAGCCTGGGGAGCCTACGCTGATTTGGCTTGTGTGGCATGTTGCTTCCACTGGTGCAGCCTGCACTATGTGTGTGGCCCCTGGTTGCTTAGAAGTTAGACAGCCCTGAACTAGATTGTGACACTGAGGCAGAGACTGTGTGGCATTTTTAAAATATTCCCAGTACAGTAGGACTTTAGGTTCTACTTAATGGAAGTAGTAGTTATAGCTGTCCTACTTTATCAATGACATGACCACAGACATTGTACGGTGCAGACTGGAATCTGTTTGGAGACAATATACTAAAGGTAGATTTGGGGCCTGATCCAGTATGACAGTTCCTTCTTTGGCAATTGCAGTGTTTTATGTTCAGTAATCTGGTAGGAAGTCTTTTGATAAAAACAGCCATTTCCAAAAAAGATTTCACAAATAGAAGCCTTACCTAGCTCTGGACTTATGCTGCTGGTTATCAAACATGTAACAGATCTTCAGTAAGGTGGGTTTTTTTCTTTCTGGAAGTACAATTAAAGAATGGTAAATCAAGTAATTACAAGTGAACTTAATCTACAGTCTTTTGTGTGTACCAGTAAAATGTATCTCCAGACAAACTGAATACCGCATATCCTATGAACCACTGACTTGATTTAATCTTGATCCCTGCTTGGTCTGTTTTCCCTCACTGATAATTGCTAAGCTTGTTTCTGAGCATTTTTGGAAGTCTCGCAAGTGGTGGAATAATCTTTTCTGAATCAGTTTGTATAAAACTTTCAGGGGCAAACATATACCCATCCCCTCTGCTCTGTGTTCCTATGTTACCTGTAAAGAAATCCTCTGTTGTTCCACTGCTTTGGCAGGTGTTGGCCAATTCCTTTGGTCTCTTTTGAAATATAGTTAAGTGTTTTGAAAATAACTTTTCAACTGTTAAGATCTGGCTTCCAACCTACAGAAAATGCAGGCAGAGCTTTTCAAAGCTACTACTGGACTGAGGTACATATGTTGCATTACAGTGCATTGGAATTTTGGGTACTGACAGATGTGGGGAAAAAATGCACTTCACCAGAAGTAGCAGTGTGTTAGTTTGACCTGGCTCTGCAGCGTCTGTATAGATCAGGCCCTTTAGTGGGGCTGTTTGGTGCTTTTCTCTAATAGCTGATTCAATCAGCTATTAGAGAAAAACACCAAAAAAGCCCCACTGAAGCACTCAGTCTATATAGACGTTGCGAAAGTCAGCTGCAATGGACGCGATGCCTCTTCTGGGCACTGGGCTCAACGTGGAAGTGTGCTGAGTTTAAAGTAGAGTGCCTTTTTTTCCCCATACATCTACAAACCAGCCTTTGTGTTTAAATTTCTTAGTTTAGAAAAAATCATGCTGAGCTTTGCATGTTTATAGCTAGAATGCAGTGTTTATGGGTGCAGAATGTGCTTATCTACAACCTTCCTAGCTAGTTTGTTTTCTATCCATGCAAGTTTTCTACTGTTCTTATTCTCTGTAGCCCAAGGGCATTCTACTCCTCTCAAGAGCCTGGGTCATTTCTGTAACTGGGGAGGTATGATTGCATCATGTGTAGATGTGCCTTTAATCTACCTTGCTGGGGTACTGACACGGGTAAAATCATGGCAGCAGAGACTTCAGCATGGGCTGCAGAGGCCTACCCAGTTCCCTGGGTATTTGCTTGGCTGCTAAAACCCTATGCCACCACAACTGCACTGTTATTGGTGCCTGAGATTAGCTTTATTAAATCAGATCAGGTATGTCTTCACATGCTTTAATCAACTCTGAGTACAGCAAAGACAGAAAAGAAGAGAAACCCAAGCTGGGTGAAGTCAGACAAAACTGTCTTGCAGCACCAGAAATATTTTTTGTCTCTTAATTTCTATCCAAACACGCAGGTCAACTGGATAGTTCTGCAAAGTGATCTCTGATGTTCTTAACGTCAAACATGAGAGCACCACCATTCCAAGAGCAGATTTTACAAATATTAACTATGGTGGATCAGAAGCTGGAAATTACTCTTTAGAATAGATTTTCTGTGTCCTGACCACTGAAAGCTAAGGCATAATTTTGTTTTTATAATTCTTATTAAACATAAACCTTTGTTCTTCCCTGGTTCTCCTCCTCCCCCCCAAAAATGGAAAATCTAAACTGAAACATGAATAATCTAGGTCAGCTGAAAATACCAACATTTTTATATGTTTATTTTTTTTAAAAAAGGAATATCCAAAAAAAAATCCACTTGCTCACATGCTCTCACTGTCTGCCAAGATCAGTGGCTGCTCAGTATTTTGCTTTTCTGGGCAGTGGCCTGATTTCTGATTCAGATCTCTCAGTGCAGTTTCTGCAGGCCATTATGCAGACAGGCAACATAAAATGCAGGTAATGTATGTGAATGCTTTAAAAGCTTTTAATTTATTTAGTTATTTATTTTTTTGTTAAAGTAGCAGATTTCTGATAACTTGTGCAGTTACGGTTCAGTTTATAATCTGACGTTTCGAAGGACCAAAACATCTAAATAGATAACATAGAAATGCATATACAGAGAAACTGAAAGGCAAAGTTCCTGAAAATTGGGAATTATGTTTACATTTTTGGTTCTTCCAAGTTAACCCTCTGACATGATGAAATGGAGCATGGTCATATCAAGAATGAGATGTTTTAGTGAAACACTTGCAATGCTGAAGGCAGGGTAGAGTTGTATAAGCTTTGTGAACAAGAGCTGTCCTGTTAGGAAGGCTTGAACAGACAGCAGAGCTACAGATGTTTAAAATGCAGTGCTAAAGTTTTATTTCTGCTGAAAACAAGACATTGGAGGCCAGGCACCTGAATTTAACAATAACATTTTTATTTACCATTATTATGCTGTTCCTGTTTGATAATAATTGCACTCTGTGTGTGTAACAGTGCAATCTGTCCCTTTAAGACAGCCGTGCTGCGAAAGCCAAGCTGCAGGGAGTTGGGATAAGAAGAGAGTCCCCTGGCGGGAGCTTTAAACACTCTCCCACAAGAGAAGAGGAAACAATCGATAAGTGGAATAGTGTGCTGCCAGGAGGTGCGAGGCTGCTATGCCAGAGCAAAAGACGGTTTCCTCCTTGAGTCTGGGATGGGGCAGAAAGGTTTGGTTTGGTTTGTTTGTTTGTTTGTTGCAAAGCCGCATCTTTGCTTGGGAGGAGTGGCTGAAGAGCTCCTTGGGGAGGCAGCCTGCTTGTGGAGGCCAGCAGGCTAACTGACCGCTTACAGTGATAAAAGATGTAAACGTTTGTTTTGGTATAAATGCTTGAATCTCAATCTCTAGAGTTTCTCAGTAACCTACTCCATCCCTCTGACCAATACATTGTTGCAGGAAAAAAATAAAAGGTTTCCATATGTTGTTAGAACAGCTTGTTGCTTCTCTCCTCTTGACCTGTGTAATTTGTTTCTGACTAATTTTTAAATTACTTAAAATATGGCTTTTCCTGTTTAAATTGTCACATCCAGATTGTGGAATCTGCTTTCTACCTGTGAGAATAATTTACTTCCTTCACAATATATTTTGTCATATGAAACATATGAAGCATTGCTCTTGTTTTCCCTTTGCAGTGAGCAGTGACAGACTTCCTCCTTTTCCAGTAACTTCATTGTCAGGGTAATACTTTT